AATACAATTTGGACACTTGACTTTTATATATTTCTTATTATTTTATATTTAAATGTCAATCTTATGTTTCTTCCTCTGCATATAATTATGGTTCTTAACCTGTGCGACTTGGAAGAGCCTTCGCCAGTAATTGCATATCGTATCGTATCGTGTTCCACATCCACTGGCCACTCTAAATGCTCCAATCAATGCAATTAAAGTAAACGTCTGCTGACTACATTGAAAATTTTCCGCCACCCCCTTATAAATATACCATATACCCTGATTTCAGTTTGCTTTATATGTGTATATATATATACTATACATGCTATAATGGTGCAGACATCGCGTGACCTGCGCTAATGCATTGCCGCGCCCCAAGGGTTTTCGAGTGTGAGTGGAAAACAGGGACTTTTCACAACCCTTTTTCGGTGCAGCACGTGATGTCCCAAGGAAATCTGGCTTAAGAAAAACAAAGGGAAAAACAACAAGAACAGCGAACTCAATGCGTAAACACTAAAGTTTAATGCACTCTAATTGCAAGACGGGCTTGGAGGGGATTGGACGGAAAAGAAAAGCGGAAGTTCCCAGACGACAAAGGCAACACACGCTGACATTTTCGCATAAAAAACTTTGAATATTTACACAAAGAGAATATATAAGGGAGGGAAAAAGGTGAGAAATAGTCTGAAATTAAACAAAGAAGACTTTCTGAATAAGAACTTGGGAATTATAAGCATTAGCTTTCAATTTTGGAATAAGTATTTAAGTAATTGTTGATAAGCTTTAATTGTTGAAGCAAGTCAGATAACTTTCAATTAAATATGTTATATTGATCTTTAGTTTGTCTTTTTCAAATCAATAAATTCTAAAAAACCAAGCTTTTAAATAAAAAAGTGAAATTGTGCATTGAACTTGAAGCACTTGAGATTTTTAAGCATACATTTAAGGATTTTTAAATAGTTCACTATCTTGAAATGCATTTTCATCAAGAGATTTCTTTTCCCAAAATTGTGTTATTGTCATGAAAATTACAATAAGAATACATAACAATAGTTAATTTCTCTTTTCATTTTAACTCTTATTTCCTAAGTGTAATAGAGGAAGGAGAGAAGACGACGACGACGATGTCGCTAGCTATTATCCTGCAGAAAGTTGCGTGTCTGCCGCGACACAAAAGTTCAATTACTTCTCGGAACAAGGGGTCTCCGAGTCCTGGAGAGAGAGGTGAATAAACAGTCAGCGGATATCCGTCTCCTGCATTGCGTGCCGCAAATCCCTGGCTTTCTAATGACCATTTTCCCGCTAAATGGCAATGGCACTCAGCTGCCAACTGAATTGACTAATGCCTGATCTTAATGATTTATTCCCAGTGCCCAGTATGAATTGGTGGCAAAAGGTAACTCGCCGCTGATTGGCCACTAGGTAAACCGATCCGAAACGACACCCAAGGCGCGCTGTGTCGAGTGGACACTAAAAATGGAATTACTATCAAATGCTTTTTGTGCCTGATTTATGGTCAAGCGATTTTCGGTTCGGTTACGACTACGGATGGAGGAGGGGGCAAAGTGCAATGGCAAATATTTGCACTGCAGAATGACCACAAAGGGAAGCAGATTGTATAGTAAACTAAGGGATACTCTTTTAGTTTCCTGGTAAGAAATGTGTTTGAATTTTCTTAGGGAAATATTGTAGTATTGAATAGCGTTATGAGAGCTTTAGTTTAAAATGTATTCAATTTATTTGTAGTATATATCCTCTCCTATAACCCCTATATATTCTTTTTTTTTAACCCTGACTAGCACACCCTTTCTCAGCCAAAGCCAAGGCAACCTAGGCGGAAACTAAGCCCGAAACCAAGCCCAAAACCCAGTCTAGGCCAAAGCAACTGTTTTGGCATTTGGATGACTAAGCTGGATTCTTGTTTTTTTTTTTTTTTTGACTTTCGGTGTGCACGTTGCAAGTGCCAAGTCAAATTGTGTGGTCATTTATTGCTAAAGACTCACGGGAGGGAGGAACCAGACACAGAGACAGAGGTCAAAATGGCACAGATAGAAGGAAAATATACAGGGAAAACAGAAAGGCAAAGGACATGGCGACTGCAGCAACTGCAGCAGCTAATAATCATGTTTCAGTTTTCCTACATTTCAATTTAGAATAGAAAAAAGCCCCACAAAAGGGTCGGGTCTGACCTTTCTAGCCGACTGAGGCTTCATTAATTTGCACCTATTTCCAATGCCGCACCAGGTGACAACTTCCGTCTGCTGTCCTTTCCGCAAAGTAAATTATAAATTTTATTTCCATTGCCTGACCAACAAAAAAAAAAAAAAATGTCCAGTTTAGAGGTCCTTCTTTGGGGGATTTTCAGTTTTCTGTGTTTTTTTCGCCTGATGTAGGATAGTCACGCGACTTGGCTTTAGTGGGAGTTCAGTTTTGACAGCATTTTCCTTTTAGCCGCCAAAAAGGATTGTCTTCTCTAGCTCAGACCTAATTTTTCAACCCGTTCTCGCTGCCATTTGCCACCTGCGCCCTCAGCTAATCAACTTGTTATATATTATGCGTATTTGCATTAATAACATATCGCGAGAGGAGTTCCCCATCCCCTGGGTTCCCCCTGCCACCTTTTAGGCCCGCTTTTCAGCTTTTCCGGTTCTCGCAGCACGAAGTAAATGACAATTTTGTCGCTGCATACTTCTGGGGATTACGAAACGACACCAAATGTGTGTGTGTGTGTGTGTGTGTGAGTGCGTGTGTTTTGTGGTTCTTGGGGTGTTCAAGGGTTCGTTCCTCTTCTCGGCGGGATTACATGGAGCTTAGCTTGGCTCAGCCGGAACACTGGTGCGGCATGTGTCAGGTTCCTGGGGGGGAAACATGTTTATGGCCAGGATCTGTGGCTTACTAACCATAACCCATCGAATTTCGATCGAGATTGGGTGACATTGAAAGAAATACAACTTGGGAAGGGGTTCTGAAGGTCAATAAGCCAGGAAAACCCTGTCTAAAATCGTATATAAAATACTTTTTGAAGGATTTAACTCCCATTATATATTTTCTGTAACTTTTTTAAGCATAAATGCTTTTAATTTCTCATCTTTTAGCTTTTAATTATTTTCTACTTTATTTGCTTTTAAATAATTCCCCTAGACCTCCTTTCTGACTCACAAATAACAGGCCTAATTTCGGATTCAACTAGCCGAGAGTGGCCACAAAATGCCATCAAAGGGTGCCATTTAATTGTTCAGGCATTTTCAGAAGGGCAGTCTGTTTGGGCTTTTGTGAATTTTAATGTTGGATAAAAGCATTTTTGCCGTGTGTTTGGCCATTTTGGCTAATGTATCGGGGTATTGGTGTGCGTGTGCCCATCTGTGTTGGCTGCTTTTCAAGGTCGCGTCGTACAGAAATTACAGTCACGCGTCAGATTTTATGCAAAGCAGTTGAGCTCAGGAGCATTTTTGTGTCCTGTGTTTGTGCACTTTGCAATTGTTGTTGTTAGGACCTCTTATATGGTATAAGTGCCAAGTGGTTGTGTGTGTGTGCTTGGCAAGTGGGCGTGGCTGTCTATGGCTTTGAAAGTCATAAATTTCAAACAAGTCTCGTAAAATCTCAAGTGAACTTAGCACTTTGCAGTCGGTCCGTCGCGTTGCACATTTTGGTCCTGTGGCGAATGCAAATGAGCGCTGGCTTTATAACTGAGTCGGCTTTTTTTCCCCTAAATGCTGTTCATATGGTAGGTGAAAGTAGAGATGCTTAAACAGGCTTTGAGAGTATTTAAGCAGAGCTTTAAATGCAATAGTTTATTTAAGAAAAACTATCTTTCATTTCTTCTTAGTTTACTTGATAATCAAAAAAACTTGAGATACTTTAAGTTCATTAGATGGAATGGCATTGCAGAGTGCTTAATAGATAAAAGGATCCCTATCAAACACAGAGTTATGGCTTGTTTTGTGGCCAAGATCAAAGTGTGTATCCCATAAAAATGACAGAATATTAAGTCAAATGGCCAAAGAAATCTCGATTCGTAAACTTTTCCTTCTTTGCTATTTGCTTCCTCGTACATTTCTTTTTATTGACCCTTAAAATGCAAATAAGTTTAGACCCATCTGTGTGTACATACACACCCAAACACACACACATGTGTGCGCAGTTATAGTGTTTTTTATTGCCTACTTTTGCGGGCCATGACAAACTGAGCTAAGCCGAGCCTCACCTTGTTTGATGTGCTTCACATTTTTTTGTGTGTATGTTTGTTGTGCGGTATGTGTGTGTCTTTTATTTTTATAACTATTTGCCAGCTGTAAATGTGAGAGGCCAGAGCCAAAACAAACAGCGAAGCAGGAAGAGCGGCACTTTAAAAAGGACACGAGACCAGTGGTGGCTACTTAGCAGCTTGAATGGGGAAATATTTAGGGGTCTGCCTCTCGTAGCATCTGCTTAGGTCCCCCCCTTAGCCGGCGCCCTCGTAGCTAATGATGCCCGACATTCGACCGACTTTCACCCACCTCTCAGCCGACTTCAGCCGCCTTTCAGCCTTCTTTCTCTACGCTTTTGATAAACGTTAGCCGCTGTTTTCCCGTTTCGCTTCTTTTATTGCGTTACGTTTTATGGGTCGAAGACGGCAAAAGAACGAAACCGGTACATAAACAAAAATGGAAGGAAAGTAAAGGAAATCGAAGATGAAAGTACCCTGTAGATGTGTTTTTTGAAAGAATATAGTAATCAAATAATCTTCTTAAAGCCTAAAGTGAGGTTCAAATGATACCTGTTCTTTTTACTTTAGGAACTTTTCTCCAACTGTTATAACTTTTATATTGTCTTCCCTAAATAATAAATGCTTTTAAGATACAAAATAACTCTTTTTTGCTGGCCTAATTGTATTCCATTTACATTTTTCTTAGCCAAATATTAAGTCTTCTTTTTAGTTGAAAGACTTTCCTCCACAAAACAAATATACCCTCTTCTTTAGACCTAACCAAATGACTCTGTTTTCTTATGCTTGCTAGCTGTTGGCATTTTGTACTCACGATTTTATGGTGCAGCGCCGAGAGTTCGCGCTCGGTGACCCGTCGGCTGGCGGCCTCCCGGCGACGCTGGCGGAACTGGCTGTATTTGTAGGCGAGCATCACGCCGGGCAGGGCCAGCGCCTCCAGCGGGGACTTGCGGCCGAAGGGCATCCTTCTCAGCTGGGCTCGGCTCTGCTCTGCTTAGCTCAGTTCGGTTCCTTGAGGTCCTGTGGCTCCTCGGGGTATTTTTCTTTTTTTTTTTTGTTTTTTTTTCGGGCTCTTCTAGTCGCCCTTTTAGTCGCTTCGGCTGGGAATTACTTGTGGCGAGTTGAGATATTGCTTGCTGGTTTTCATACACTTGGCACTTTCCTCGGCGGCGCGAGTACGCGGGGACTTCTCCTTTGACTTTGACTCTTAGCAGCGTCTGCGTCTCATTATGTAATCACAACATGGACACGAACAACACGGCACTGGCAGCATTTCGCTCGGTATTATTGGACCTTTGCCCATGCTTAAAGTCGTATTTGGCTTTCACTTTTCTTTTTCCTTCGCATGCTGGATCTGTGTCTTTCCCCGATTGCCGCTGATGAGTTGCAATCAATTTTGCATTCTGCAAAAATTGGAATTGGGTTTTGATGATTGCAAATCTCGTTTCGAGGGCTTTGATTTCGTTACATTTTCAATGTTTCCCCCAAGAGTAGCAAGGAAAAATGCTAAGGGGATAATGGTAAAGGGAGCTGAAGTTTTTATTTGATTAATTTTGATGAAAAAGGATGGGGTTTTAGAGTAGAAAACATTAAGTTTGACTACAAAATTAGTTTTTATTTATTTAGAACAAGACTAAACTGACTTTTAGCGGCTTGAAAGTATTTATTAGAGTGTCTAAAAGTAGGCTTAATTTTCAGCCTTAATCAGGAAATATCTCCTCATCGAAATCACCAATATCAGACTCATATTCTCACTAAATCTTTAGCCCAAATGACCTGGGATTTTCCTTATACTCTTCTCATACCGTAAACACTTCAATTCTCATAAATAAATAAATATATCAGTGCCCTGGGGCAATGCTGCATTCACTTTCTCTATTCTCCCTGGACAATATTTCACACCTGACTGTCACACACATCAATTTTACTGATGAATTTCGCTAAACTTTGAGTGATATATGCGGGGGGGGGGAGATTTCTCTCATGCTTCCACAGGGGGATGACACTTTAATAAAGCAAAGTGACGGGATTTCTTGAAGACTTTGAATGGTATTCGCCAAAAACCGGAATTACAGAACCGCGCACACAACGATCATTAATTACAATTACATGGCGGAAAAATGACACAAAGGCGGAATCACAGGGCTTGACACGCAAAATTTGCCGACTGATTACAGGCTCCTGGGCTCTTTATTTATAATAGTGTGTTCGGGGGGAGGAGGAGGCGATATATGTGGTGGAATCTGGCTAAGATGTGGCACTGTTATTACACCGTAACTGAGAGTTGGCCCACGTGCACTTGGGGCCAACGCAGAACGGTGAATGTCGCAGAGCAGCTTCGCCAATTTCCCACGCAACCGTCGTGGAAGCTGCGTGAGCTTGACGCGTTTTTCCAGGCAAAGAGAGCGAGATGTGTCACTTCCAATGCCTCCTCGGACACGTTTTGTTTACGCTCGATGTTTGTGCCCGAAATCAAACAATTTTTGGCCAGGTGAGTCAGCTTTTAATTGATCAGTGGCTACGTCATAACAGCCACCAGCGGCGACAGGTGAAAGACAACCGTTTGCAGCGAATTAACTCACGAGATAAAGGGGATAGTTTTTCACGTTACGTATACGCCGCGTATGCTGCCGTATTGTACAACCTGCACCGTAGCGCCTGCGAGTGCGACTGGCTGCAAGGATTTTCCAGAGGCAATTTTTTGGGATAGTTTTCCCTTTTCGCTGGCGCTGGCGCAGGCGCTTTAGTCCGCTTGCCGGCGACTTTTTGGTATAACAGATTGCGTATACGACCCGTGGCTCCGCTGCCTCTCCCTCAACCATATTGCCAATTTATTGTTTACTCCGCTTCCACACTCTTCTCTCTCGGGCAATCCGACAGTCAGTTAGTAGTAGTTTATTTTGCTTTCCTCTCCACGTCACGACATTGCCGAGAGCCGTATAAACAAATCACAAAGTTTGAGGGCAGCTTTCGCCACGAGTTTTTCCTTCAACGGATATTGCGTCCAGTTTGCCAATGTTTTGTTGCGGTTTTGTCCGCTCGAACAATTGTGTTCATTCAATTTTATGTGCTACTGTTAATTATGGTCGGCCATTTGGCCCTTGTTCGGCTAATTGCTGCGGTTTTTATCACGTTTAGTGTGCGATTTGCTGTTTTGGCAAATATATTTGCATTTGGCTGAGTCAAGGAGTTCATATAGTGGGATTTGAACTGCATTGTAAGGTATTAAGGTTTGCATCGCAGTAAAGTAGTCACATTTGAACCTATAAATCATATATATTCTTCATTAGCATCATCAGTTGCTATTGTTATGGAAGTTATTGAAAATATAGCATAAATTTAAATAGATTTTGATGATTTATTGTAATATTAAAATAAATTAATAAAAATTATGGGTCTTCTTTTTAAACAATTTAAATTGATGCACGCTAGTCTAATTAATTTAGGTATGTCTCTGATTGCTTCAGTAATATTATAATATAACAATTTTGTAAATATTTAAAAAGAATAGAAGACTCTAGGACATATTATATTTGGAGTATATTTCTGAATAAAACTTAATAATGAAATACATTATTATGTTCTCTTAACTATCATCACAGGAAACCCATCATAGTTAGTCACTCACAACGGACACAGGTGCTCTGCAGATCAATAGGTGTTAAGGGCGCAGGTCAGCAACAACAAATACAACAAAAAATCGGCTAACAAGTAGCCAAGTGAAATTGCCAAATGTTTGGGACGTGGGAAAAGCAAGGCCTAGCGCAAAGGCAAATGAAAGCAGGGTAAAGTCAAAGCCAAAGTAAATAACTGGAAGTCAAAGGCAAACAAAAGGTGTTATACACAGAGAGCGGTGGCCAGAGAAAAAGAGAACTTGATTGAGAGAGAGAGAGAAAGTATTTTTGCTCCTTGCGGCTTGGCCTGCTTTTGTGAAATTGCAAAGAGGGAAAAAAGTAGAGGGGAAAATTGTTTGGCGACGCCATGGAAATGATGACGTAAATTGAAAGCCAAACCTGCCACGGCAACGGATTCTATTTGCAACTCCCCCCGGCGGTGCTGCCCCAGCTCCTGCCACCACCTGCTCTTCCGCCCTTCAACCGACAGGTGTTCAGCAGTAGTTCTGGGCAATCTCTGAGTGCATATTTGTCGACTCACTGAGTGCACTTCTGAGATACAGATACGCGTGCCGTTGCAGATGCAGATACTAGTACTTTGACTTGGACTTGCCGTAATGACATTCCGCTGACAAAGGGCTTGCATTTCCGCTTAAATGCATTTTCCAACCCATTTTCTGAACCATTTTCTGAGCCATTTTCCCTTGGCTTTATTTTCTTCTCTTTTAATTCTTTTTATGTTGAGTTATTTCGGTTTGAATTTCAGCTAACCGCAGCGGAAAGAGAAAACTGAACCGAAACAGAAACACTAGGCACTAGCTTTTAGTTTGTTTGCCTTCGCCAGCATGTCCTTCTGTGTCCTGTGTGCACTTTGTGTGCTCAATTTTGCGTTTTCTATTTCTATTTTTAGACCTGCACAGGGGCAGGGCCAGGGGTGCTAGTGCGAACAACAGTGGGTGGAAAGAGGGGCAGGCGGCACACATCAATCATGGTAAAAATATGCCTCGGTAGCAATTGCATAAATTAATCAGCACTGCCAGTGTATAAATACACAATCGTCAAACAAACTTCCGCACATACACTTGGAGAAATGAAAGCGATAAGTTTGGAGATGAAAAATTAGGATAGGTAAAGAAATTTAAGGGAAAATTAAAACAAAAGTTAAATAAAAATAAATTTTAACAATTTTCTTTGTTTTAAAAAACAGTATTTCTTTATATTTAACACATTTACATTATCCCTTTATTAATTTTTAATTCCATTTCATATAAATTTTCTTTATTTTACAAGTGCATCTGCAATTTTCCTGCCCCCGATTCACACACACACATTGTGCACCCCTTCTGTGCATTGACGTCACTGCTGCTTCTACTGCTTCTACTGCTGCTGCTGCCTGCAGTTGTCCTGAGCGATGCCACTGAGGATGATTATGTTTGTCTTCTGGCTAGGTAAGCACCTTCTTGACCTTCCCCAAACTGTTTACACTTATCGCTGGCAAGGGTCCCCCCCACAATACAGAGACGAGGGCTCTCGGCTTCAGTTCTGGGGGTCCTCGGTTCGATTGACAGCAGCCTGCTGACGAGTGCCTCGTCCTGGGAGATGATTGTGTGAGGCGGCATGATGCATGCCTCATCGGAGCTTCACTAACTGAATCAGCTCGGAGCAAGGATGATGAGAACTGATTATCCCGATGGGGCAAGGGCTGGGTCCTCCAACAAATACGAGTGCATAACATTTACGCAAGGTCCTTTGAGGATAGTTATGTGCCCGTTATAGCTTGCCAAGCGATAAATGATAATTGTGACAAGCGATTTCTTTGAAATCCGGTTTGAATAAGTAATTGATTTCTTTTCGAAAGGTTATATAAGAAAATACTTAAAGTTCATTAAGGTTTAGGAATAAAAGATTGTATTAGATAATTTATTTTCTATTTCTATAACTATTTTATAATTTAAAAGTGTTTAATTCATTAATTTCATCCTCTTCTTATCAGCCAGAAATATATTAAATTCTTTTAAATTGTATTAAAAATGAGTTCAACTAGTTGCGGCTTTAATTGTCGGAAATAAAATGAATGAATATCAGAAATTTATGAACCATAGATTAATGAATGTCACTTTTCGATTGAGCGATTTAGAATGTAATCAATTTGTAATTTATTAAATATAAATTATAGTTTATATCATCAATTTAAAAATGTTGAATTGTTAAATTTGTAAGGGTATTTTTTTACCCAACATCATTTTTAAAAAATGTTTTCATGTCGCCAGATTTTTGTTTTCTAATTTCCCATCCCACTTTTGGCCATTGTCTTGCCTTCAACTTTCTGCTGGCGCACTTTGTTGGCTTGACTTGAGTGGCGGCTCGGTTCTTTACGGGTCTCCACCTGACCGACGGGTCAGTTGCCGGACGGGCTTTACACCGCGCGGTCTGAGTCAGCTATTTTAGTGCCCAGTTTTCGCTGAATTCACCTCTCGATGGCTGCCGCTGCTGTTGCCACACCGGGAGCCACGGTGCTCCCATCCTCAGGACCTGCTGCGCCTCCTGCAGGACCCAAGGCCCCGCCGGCCGCAGGGGCGGCTGGAGGCAAGGGCCCGGGAAATATTCTGGAAATTGCCGGCGAGGCCAACATAGTTAATTACATGAAGAATCGCCTGCGAAAGGGCGCCATGAAGCGCAAGGGTCTGGAGATGGTCAATGGCCATAAGTTTGGAGTGCGCTTCTTCAAGCAACCGACTTATTGCGGTCACTGCAAGGACTTTATTTGGTAAGGATTTTGGGGGTACAAAATTGAGAAGGCGTTGCATAAAATTCGCGCTTGGATTTCTAAGGTTCCCCGTATTTAATTTAATTAGCGCCCAGCTTGCTGACACACT